TGAGAAAGGGGGGGATCTGGTATATGTATAAGTTTATAATGGGCGTTATGGAGCGGAATCATGGCAAACATAGATGTACATAGATAGAGCATGTTCGTTTTCTAGTCGCAAACACAAATTATATACAACGTCTCTCGTACTTCCCCATCTCACCAACACCATTACTTATTTACTCATGCCCAGAAACTTTTATACCATTTTGTATCTCCCTTCGTTGGCTGGTTCACCTTGGCATATTCCCCCTTTCACCTTCATCTCCATCTGCTCAGCGCATGGCCGCCACGATCGACCCACTTCACACATGCATTATACACTCATGCCCCAGGTAAACCCTGCAATCATGTACCAATTCCCATGTACCACCCCTAACCACCCCTTCCTCTTCCCAATTCCCTCCGTCCATCCATCCATCTATGAATACACAAAATCTACATACGGCAACAAAAAAGAGGAAAAAGACATCATCCCCCTCCAACGTCGCTCAACAACTCCCAGCCGCGAGTCCCACTCCACAAACCATCCGTCCACCACACCCCGAAACTCAAATGCACCACGCAAGCCCCTCCATCTCACAACTCAACATCCATAGGCGTAGCTGTAGTCCCATCAACCGACTCCTTCCTCCCAGCACCAGCTTCAACTTCCTTAGCCCTCCCGCGTTGTGCTTGTTGTTTCTGTTGTAGCGGCCTCTCCACCCCAACCGTCCGTTCCCGATCTCGATCCTCATCACTCGCCGACGGCGACGAGACCTGTTCCGGATCCGTACCCACATGCCTGCTCTCCGTATCATTTAGCGACGTACGACTGCGCGTCATCTTCAAACATCACCAAAACACAATCAGCACATGCACGTCTCACAGAAAAGGAATTATGAATTACGAGACGAAAACTCACCCAAGCCCGAACCCCCCCAATTAACCCCAAACTATAACCCGTCGCAAAATCCTCACTCCTACCCACCCCGCCCGCCCCAGGACTCTCCGGCCGGCTGGGCGGGATGTCAAGTCTGTGTAACTGCGATCGATTTCCGGCCCCAGTCCCAATACCGAAATAGCTGCCATTACCATTACCATTATTACCTGGACTTATCGCGCCCGTTCGCGGAGAGTCGATGCTCCCCCCACTGACATTCCGTGCCGGACTGGAAGGTCGACTGTTTGCCCAGAACTGCCGGAGCTCTTTGCCAAGCTCCTGCCCAGTGACGGACCAATTATTCTTGATGGAGTCGCGCAGTTCGGCGACGTGGCGCTTGATTTCGAGCTCGTTCTTTTTCAACCAGGAGACGTTTAATTCTTGGCGGGAGGTGCCGCGTTTTAGTTGGCGGGTTATGTATTTTTCGTAATCGCGGACGATGCTGGGAGATGTTAGCAAATAATTTGAAAAAGGAAATTTAACAATAGAGGATCCAAAGAGGAAGGGGAGTGGAGGTAAAACGTACTGGGTAATAATCCCCGTCGTACTAACCCCCTCCGTCCTCTGCGTGACCAAAAACTTCCCCTGCGCCTTAATTGGCGCGTATATATCATCGCCCTCCGCAGCGCCATATGGCAGATCGTCATGCGCGACATAGTCGATCTGATGTTTCTCAAGGAACTCCGGTGTGACGATCCAGGGGCAATCGGGTATGACTTCATCGACCCATCGACAGTGGCGGACTGTCTCGGACCGTTCTGTGCCCGTTAATACGGTTAATCCTTTGCGCTTGTGCGTTTCGTGATCCGAGGTTACGCCTACGATGAGGTAGGTTTCCGGGAAGGCCTTCTTGGCTTGTTCAAGTTGGCGCATGTGGCTAGGTGGTTTGGATGGTGGATGTTAGGTTGATCTTTGTTTGTGAAAATGTGGTGGGTGGATATGCCATGAAACAGAGGGGCCGCCATAACAAGAAATAAAGGAGAGAGGGGAGGAATCTGAAAAGAATAACATACCCGAGATGAAACAAATCAAACACCCCATCCGCATACACCCGAACGGGCCTCCCAGTTGGGGGTGGGTTCGTGTGATAACCCGCGGGATCCTGCAAACCCGCACGTTCCGGCGGCTTCAGGCGCTCCTGCTCCTCCTTGTTGCGAGTGCCCACACTAGCAGCCGTCGCCGTTCGAACCGTCGTCGCCAAACTCGGGGTCCTGTACAAGGTCGTGGAAGAAGGCCCGGTGCGCCTCTTGGCAGCTCTCTCCTCAATATCGGCGCTCGCCTCGGTCGTCTCGGATGGTTCGCCTGGGTCTTCTTTGCTGATGGAGGTGGAGTTGGAGTTGGCTGTGATTGTCTTAGAGGTGCCGTTTGGGGAGGTGGAGGCTAATGTGTTTGCGGTATCTGCTGCGGCGGCGGTTGAGCGATTACGGGGTCGTTTGGATGGGGGACTGTTGGAGGAATCGAGGGAAGGGATGGGATTTCCGTGTTTGAGCGATGATGAAGCGGCGGTGGTGGAGTCGCCTTCCTCGGCAGAGGCATCGCGGGAGGAGGGCTGGAGGTCAATGATTGAGGGTTTGGGGTTAGCGGCCGCTGTGGAATGGGAGTTGCTCCGTTTCCGCTTTGAGGCGGAGCGGGTGGAGGATGGGGATGACATTGTCAGGTGTATATTCGTATTTTGTATTTTTTGTTTCGTGGATTGTTGGTTTATTTTGAATTTTTTTAATTTTTTTTTAATTTTTATTTTTTTTGGGGGGAGGCGATGAGGCCCCCTTTTTTCACCGCTTGGGGGGGGGGGGGGGGGGTGTTGGAAGGGAGCTGGATCCTTTACTCAATCAATTGGGAGAAAAAGAACCAAGGGACAGAGAGAGTGACGTGATTTGAAGGAGGATATTAGAGATAATATATATATATATATATAATTCAGTTTTCGGGTGTATGGAGGACGACGGATGAAAAAAAGGGGAGAGTAAAGTTAAAAAAAAAAAAAAAAAAGAAAAGAAAAGAAAAGGAGAAGAATGGAATAAAAATAAGAATGTCAGGAGTTGGGCGGATGCTAAGCAGAGAATTTCCCTTGGAACCAGCAGCAGGGAACAAGCGGCCAGCAGAGGACCCGCGTGGGAGTGGCTACGGCGCAACGGGCTGAAGCTGGGAACTGGAACCTAGGACGGGATAGGTATAGGTATTGAGTGAAGGTGCGGGAGAGGCCGAGGAGGGCAGTTGAGTAAGGATGAGAGAGCATGAACAGAATTAGGAGGCGAGGAGAGAGGGAGGAGAGAGGGAGGAGAGAGAAAGCGGCAGGTTGAGATCAGAGGGGAGAGAAGAAGACGGGAAAAAAGAATCAGACCAGAGGAAGAAGAGCTGGAGACGAAACATGGTTCGAGGTTGAAGGTTGAAGGTTGGAAAAGTGCAAAAAGTTGAGGCTTAGTTGGTTCAGCCTATCCCGGGCGTGGGATGACTAAGCACGGAGAATTGGCCAGCGCAGAAGAGCAGAAGAGCAGAAGAGCAGCAGCAGAAGAGAGCGCGCAAGATCCGGCATATTTATTGTATCTGCATTTTTATTGGGAACCCCTTTCTTTACTACCTGGAGAAGGAGAAGACAGAAGAAGTGCAATCGCAGACACAGAAATTCTATGCATCTACACTCGTGGGAAATCAACATGAAGTCAAGATTGCTTATATGCATTGAAACCACCAAGGTTAGCCAGCAAATCGATTGGATGTATACATGTGTTTTTTTTTTTCTTCTTCTTCTTCTTTTTTTCTTTCAACCGCAACGTTTCAAACTTGTCAGCTTAGAAGTGTGTAGAGGGAAGACAAGAGAAACAGGGAGATGGAGAAACCGCCTTATGAAAATACCGATGACAATTATAATAAATGCTAAAAAGGATTATATCTTTCCTCCTCCTCCTCCTCCTCTTCTCCGCTGGCAAAAGAGCACTCTCACATAGCCGGAGCATGCGCAGAAACAAAACGCAGAGCCAGAGTAAAACCAGACTGATGATTACAAATAACGACTGAAGAAGGCATCTGATAATTAAGAAGCAGCAGAAGAGGAAGAGAGGGGAAGGAAAAATAAAGTAAGAAAAGAAGCCAAACAGCAACACCCCCACATTCATAGCTATTCCTCAACGAACGGGCGGATGGACGGATGGATGGACAGTTCTTGCTGCTGCTGCTGCTGCTGCTGGGGTGGGGAGTTAGATTAGATACCTGACGAGCTTTTGTGGGTGGATCGAAGGCGGTGGTTGAGCAAAGGAACATGCACAAGGAGGGGCCGGGGACGAGAAGCGAAGGGCTAGACGGTGTGAAAGATTAGCAAAAAGGGGAGGCAGGAAGCACGCAAATCGAACATGGAAAACAATAAGAAGTGTATAAACTCATGTAGTATATTCATTAATAGTCAAAGAGGTTGAACGCACCCCCCCATCCCATCCCATCCCGTTTCCGCACCATATCATATTAAATCAAATCGTCGCCATTCCGTCCCCGTATCAGATCAGATCAGATCATATGTCCTCCCGCACACATACACATATACCACATAACCCGCTCAATACATCCGTCATCGACAAGGAGCTCTTCTCCATATAAAACTCTCATGACATCTTTTTCTTTCGTCTTTCTTTTTCTATTTTTTCTTTTTTCTTTCTTTCTTTTTTTTTTTTTTTTTTTTTTTTGTGGTAAAAAAGAAAAGAGAAGAAAAACTCATTCTTTGTTACTCATACCACTACAGCCCAGAACAGATAAGACAGTCACAGAGGGAGATAGACTTGAGGGAGGGGAAGAGGGAATATTAAAAAGAGGGGGGGAATTAAAGGGGGAGGAGGGGGTACGCAAGAAGTCAAGTAAAGAAGTCAAGCGGAATTTGACAGGATCTCTTTTTCAACACAAAGTTATAGGAAAGAAGTCAAGAAGGTTGGAGGAACGCAAAACATATGTAGAATAAACAAGAAAACCACGGGACAGACAACAAAGAAAGAAAAACAGAAAACACAAGACAAGCAGAAAAAGAAAAAGGAAAAAGGGAAGAACGGAAGAAGGGAAGAAGAAAATGGGGAGGGGGAAGGAAAGAAAAGGAAAGAATAGAAAAATCATGACTTTGTCCCAGCCGTATTTGAACCTGAACCCGAACCCGTAGACATTGACCCAGCACCAGCACCAGCACCAGCACCAGCCCTCTCCCCGCCACCAGACAACACATCATTCGGCGTCGTCGACGAAGGCGACACAGAAATTACCCGCGGCGACTTCGCCCCGTCCAGCTCTTGCTTCCCTCCCTGCACGTGCCCTTGGCCCCTCGTCTCAGCCTGCGGTGTCGTCTGGCGATTCGACTGCGACTTCCCCCGTCGCCCTTCCGGCTCCGGCTCCGGCTCCGGCGTCCCCGCCCTGACCCCCAGATCGTCATCACTCTCGCTCTCGCTCTCACTCTCACTCTCACTTTCACTCTCATCCTCCTCATCATCCCGGACACGCCTGGGCCCAGTCGCGCTTCCACTTCCACTTCCGCGTCCCTGGCCCTTACGCACCTGACTCTCCAAATCCCTCTCCTCCTCTTCTGCATCGGCATTATCAAACATATCCTCCTCGGCCATGTCGGTCATGACCTCCGTCCCGTCGCCAAGCAGAATAATGCAGCCCGATCGCCCGCCGCGAAGGCGCGAGTTATTGTCAAGGCCCGACTCGTAGTCGTCAAGGTTTGTGTCGTCGAATTGGCGGCGGATTCCGGGGCCACGGAATTCGGCTGTGAGTTGGGGTGGTTTTGGGGTGAGTGTTTTGTTTGCGGGGTTTTTTGGGGGAGGTGACATGGGTTAAGATGTGTAGATGGGCAGGAGTTAAGGTGACAGGGGGAGAAGAAGGGAAATGCCACATACCATATTCAGGCGGAGCGCAGGGTCCGTCACCATTCGCCACGCGTTCTGAGATGGTCTTGTACCACTCCTGCTTGGTCTTGCCGTGGAGCAATCCGACAATGATCATGGTCATGTTATCGCACCCCACACCGCCCGTCTCGCTATTAGACGCCAAGCAATTGTCCATCATGTTTTCGCAAATCCGATGCAGCTCCTGCTTCGCAGCGATGCCGCGTCTGACAAATTCAATCACAGCCTGTGACGATTGGCAGTCCCAAATACCTGGATAGCATTCGTTAGAACTGGAAGGAAATGGTCGCTAGACGGAAAAGAGTGAAAATTACATACCATCACATGCAATGACAAGGAACTCATCATCCTCCGTGATCTCATGTGTAGTTACGTCAGGATACGCCGTGACAATCTGCTGTTCTGGTGCCAGGTCTGCGCTCTTTTTGAATTCGAAATCGCCCAGCGCACGGGAGAGTGCGAGGTTCCCATTAACTCTGCCAAAATCAACGAAGCCGCCAGCAGCGCTTATCCGTGCCTTTTCACCTGTTCGCATTTGTAAGAAACAGTGGTCGTCATGGAAATGCAGTCATTGAGGATCACAAACCTTCATTCTGTGGTTTGTGGTCGAAGGATAAAGGCTTTGCCCGCCCTTTGACTCCAAGGACGGATCTTGAATCACCAGCATTTGCCTGTTACGATACACACATTAGTGCACAGTTGCACGAAACCGAAGACACCGCCAGCATGATGAACAACATACCACTATAATCTTATCCTTTGAAATGACCGCCACAGACGCTGTGCATCCCGAGACCTCTTCCTCGTACTTTGGATCTGTATTAAAAATATTAGCACAGGCAACTTCCAAGTCGTGTGAACCATAAATAGATCAGTTCGTATAATTTAATATACCTTCCAAAATCGCCCTATCAGTCGCCAAAAACCCATCCTTCAGCGCCTGCTCGATATCACCTTTCGCAAAGGCTTCTTGTGTCGCAACGATGCGATGGACGTTATCTCCCGCGAACAAGGCGACCTTCTCCCCGCCGTGGCCATCGTAGACACCGAAGAAGGATAAGCGTTTACTGGGATCGGTGGGTCGGTGATTCTTGTCTAGGTATTTCGCTTGCAGGTCCAGGACTGCGGCGTGTGCGTCCTCCATGCTTATTCTCCATCCTTGCATAGCAGACACTCCATACAGGACGCATTCATCTTGGCTTTCGTCTGATATCTATAATTTTTTTGGTTGGCATTTGCCATGGTGTGTTAGTGAAAGGTGGATAAACGGAACCCTTCCTTTTTTTTTTTTTTTTTTCTTTTTTTTAAAAAAAAAAATTAAAAAAATTAAAAAAAATTAAAAATTTTAAAAAAAAGAGCAAGTATGTGTCAAATAATCAGGACTGGCATAAGAGCGGAGTGCTAGTTGTAGAAAACGACCGGGACGGATAGTTGAGTGAAAACGGAAAAAAGCCACAATCCAGGCACTCCGGGGTTGCTAGACTCCCAGGAACAGGACAGTAGACACACGACATTCGGCACGAAACAAGTAAATTTTCCAGCCCCGAAAATATGTCACAAGACGCAAACAACAAGCACAACGACGTGGGACATGGAGGGAGGATACGGGGAGGAAATATATTTTTGGTGTGGACGATAATAACGTGTCTGTACCGACAGCAGGGGAAAAAGGGCAAGGCGGGGCAGCAGGCAAAAAACTCACTTTCTCTACGACAGGTTCCGATAAGGTTTGTCCCATGATTGAAGGGGACACCGATGATGAGAGAAGAGTAGTCGCTAGGAGGGGAGCATACACGAGCGAGCGGCAGGAGAGGATAAGAAGCTGCGGTTGTTCAGGAAGGTGTTGGTGGGGAGTGAGAAGGAAAAGGTCTTTCTTGTAGAAGGGGAGGGAGGGGAGGAGGGGGAGGAGGGGGGGAGAGGAGAGGGGGGGAGAGGAGAGGGGAAGGGGGGGGGGATGGGCTTGGCCGGAAGGGCAGAGTTGGAGAGTTGGAGAGTTGGATGGAGTAGAGGGAAGTTCGGAGCAGCTGGTTGCCAGGCGCCAAACGGAAGGGAACGAGGAACAGGCAAGGCTGGGTTTTGCTAGGCGCAATGAAGAGATTTCAACAGAGCTGGCGAAGATAAATGCGGAGGAAGAGGAGGAGGAGGAGTTGTGGATTGGGCGGGCAGACGAGGCGATTTCTGGAAGCAGGATGGAGGGATCTGGGGAATGTGAGCAGCGTGGGTGGGAGTTGTTGTTCTGGTGGAATAGCAGACGCTGGCAATTCGATGGGAGTTGGGTTGAAGTGGGAGTTGGTTGGAACGGGTTGAGGTGGTGGTTGTGGTGGTGGAGGTGGTGGTGGTGGTGGGTTTGACCAACCTTAGCGGCTATGGCTGGAGTTTGGGGAGTTTTTTTGGGAGTTGGGAGTTGGGAGTTGGAAGAGTTGGAAGAGAATTTGGCGCGGGCAAGCAGCTGGGAGGCTTCTGGCAGCGGCAAGTCGCGCGTGGCCGGAAGGGGGACAACAGGCACAGACACGAGACGGGCTGCTCTGCTACGGCCGCCCCGGGGGGCCAACGTCAACAACGTCAACAACGTCAAAAACGTCAACAACTCAACAACTCAACAACTCAACAACTCACAGCTCAGCTCAGCGCAGGACCTAGGTAGTTATGTAGTTATATGGGAGCCAGTTGGTTGACTAGTTGGTCGCATGTGTTTTCCTACAGTTTCTATCTCCCCCAACTGTCTTGATTCTGTGCCTCCTGTCTGTAGGTTTGTTATGACTTTCTGCAAGCTTCCCGCTTCCAAGGCTCTTCTTCCCTGGAACAGCACCTCAAGCTTTGTCTTGCGATAGTTGCGTGACTCTTCAGTCTCTCTTCCTAGAAACAAGAAGCAAGAGAAATCCTTAAGACCTTCCTTTTAAAGAGGACGATAGATTTTTCTCGAAATTATTCCTGAAACCTTCAAGCGTTTTTATTCTTACTTAGAATGTTTTTAAATATGATATTACAGATCCCACAGTGAAAGCATGCAACCCGCAATAGATTCAAGCATCATTCTTGACTATGTTACTGTGTCTATTCTACAGTTATAACACGCGTGTATTATATACCACGGTTGGAGGAGCAGAAGATGGATGTCGCGAAGCAGAGGCCCCAACTAACTACTAGGTTGGAGATTTGCTACGTGCGCGCTTATCATCAGCATCCAGACATTTCATTGATGGTCTTGCATTTCAACCATTGCTGAAAGCTGGGGTCCCTGATGCTTTGTCATCGCTCTCTTGGTCTTTGTTGCCAGTTTGCCCCCGGTAGGGCTTGCTTGGAGAGACTGTAGAGACTATGAGGCCATTTGCTGCCCTCCTTTCGTGAAGGAGTTCTAGAAGGCGGCGAGGGGAGGGGGGAGGGGGCGGAAATAGGTGACTTGTCATGCGATGGGTTTGCTGAATAACCTGGGGCAATCTCGTGGAGCAATCTCGTGGAGCAATCTCGTGGAGAGTGAGGGTGCGTGGACATATCGGGGCCAGCGCAGGAGAGGGAGAGGCGAATACAGAGGCGCTGGTCTTGAGGAACTGGGACTTCTTTAACATCTTATTCTTAGAGTGTCTGTCTGGGATGATCCGCTTTGTTGCCTCGGGATATTGGGGGGAATCGTGTCCTCCCATGTGACACACTGCCAATCCCTCTCTGGTACGCATTTTCTTCCGTCCGCTTCCAAACGTCTGACTTGACTAAATGGATTATGCGTGGTCGTTGCCTCTCACTTGATAAATGCATCAAAAAGTGCGTCGCGGGATACATTGTCCTGACCTCGCAACCAGTGTCTCCGTCTGCGAAGGCTGCTCTCTCTCATCGTCAAGAGATCGGGAGAGTTTGGTAGAGACAGGAGTAGCTCGATACATGATATATCTTCTCACTCTGTAGTTTGCTGCCCGGGAACTTCCCGCCAGATTGGGCGGCGACCATATATCCGCATCCTTCGGAGTAGAATCATAGAACACACAGCCTGGATGTTCACCTCTACGCAGAAGCAGCAGCGGCAAGCTTGGAACCCAGCGCTTTCCCACATACAGTAAGAGAAAAGCCAAAAAAAAAAAAAAAAAAAAAAAACACGCAGCAACAGCAAGCAGCATTTTTCTATGGCTGGTTAATGAGAAATTTGCGTCAATCAGAAATTCGAAACGTTTCGATCCTCATCCCTCGCTGGAATTGAAAAGATGCTTAATCACCCAAGTGCTCCCCCAAAACATTCTGATGGACGAATAAGATCGCTCGTGCCAACGAACTTGCATCGGAACCACTTTCTGAGCATCCGCCCGAAGCATCGCGCGCCTTCAGGCGGAATATTTTTGACTTCGGAGGCCCCTTACGGCTCCGTACATCCCATACATGTAATACATCTATCTCATTTCGCCTTGTAGAAAACCCGCGCACTAGACAGACATGACAAATGTTTAATGAGCGGTAGAATTTTCGGCGGGAGGGGCCGTGAGCCGTCTTAAATGTCGCTCAGGGTTGCTTGAAGGTAATTTTCGCGCCAGTTTACATATATCCTCTCCCCCCCCCCCCCCCCCCCCCCCCC